ATGGCTGCTGTATCACTCTCAATTCCTTAGGAATGGCTTACTACAGTACTAAGAATAATAGTGCCATCTAGTGACACTTCTAGTTATCATCTCTAAAATTGCACATGACAACTCCTAAAAACAAATTCACTTAAGAGACTAAGCGTGCGACATGTGCAATCTGTGATCTTCACCATTTTCCTATCCAAGAAAACTTTTCTCTAAATTTCAGTCTATGATAAAATTTCACATCCTCATTCCGATTTCCCAGATGATGTTTTTATGGGGCCTCTTCACACCAGATTGTTCAGTAGTTTATGTGTTTGTATTTCAAAGACTATATGTTTCTTATATTTTAAGACATATCATTTTGAGGTGCAATATTGATATAACTATATGAGTATATTTCAGGAGACACTCTATTAAATGTACACATTGACTGCATTTAACTCAGAAAATAATACCTCAAGGTATGGTGCTTAGGTATAGCAGAGGCAAGCAGAGGTCTTCCTTGTGGTCCCCTTGTATGCCTAAAGGGGACTCTAGGAAAGTTCACAGCACAGGAAAAGAGATTCAGTGTCCTTACCGAGCTCAGAGAGTTTTAGCCTCAGGCTCCCACCTATTTATCTTGTTATCTGCATACCAACATTTGTTCCCTTCACCCTCCCATTCCAGTTACTACGTCCAGTAGGAACCCCCATTCAGATTCCATATGAACTTGGATCATCTGGCCCTTCTGTGAGTCTTAAATTCTGTGAGGCTCCTATACTTATGCACATAATCTTGTATAATTTTTCTCTTGTTGGTCTGTGTACTGACAATTTATCCCAGTGACTCAAGTTATTGAACCTTCAAGAATAGAGGGAAAGTTTTAACACCCTAAAATTGGAGGGCATCTCCATCAGGCTACAGGTACTAATTGTTTAATTAGGAAATGGTAGGCTTAATGAGAAGTGCCCTATCTTATGCAGAAAGCTTAGAAGCTATACTTTGCCTAGTTAGATAACTTTGAGCAAGTCAGGTAACGTCTCTAATTCATTATTCTTACTCAAATGGGTTAATAATGCCTACCTTATCCACTTCCTAGAGTTCTGAGAATGAAACACAATAATGAAGGCTTTAAAAACTGCTCTATAATGGTAAAAAGTTAGTGTTCTTATTTCCAATCATTTTCCTGAACAGGTTCTGGAGCTCAATTGCCTGCACCCATCTCTTACTTGTTAGTTGTGCAATCTGGAGAATCCACTTCTCTGCTCCTTGGTGCTTCATATGAAGAAGAGATATAATGAAAATACCTACCTCAAAGAGCAGTAGTGTATCATTTACATAGTAAATGCTCAGTACATTTTTAACTACTTGATTACATCCTCTTGAAGTCGCAAGGAGGACTTAAAAGTTTTTTTCCCTCTCTCCTTCTTTTCAATGTATTAGCTTAATTTTGTTCTCTGCCCATATGCAGCTCCATACCTTAATAACTAACTGTAGAATTAGTTAAAATGCAACCCCATTCCCAAGTTTTCTTAAATTCCCAGGTCCAGGATGCTCGGTGACCTCACAAGGGAGTTAAGATGCTCACACCCCACATTCCAGAAGTGATCATTTCTCAAGATTAATAAACCACCCTGGTGCCCACCTGCCCAAGATCGAGATAACATTCTCACAAAAGGTGCTATGTAAATGCCATGATTTTATTCTCTTTTTGCAGGTAAATGGATGGTCTTGGAGAAAATAATGCTAAGTGAAGTTAGCCAATCACCCAAAAGCAAATGCCGAATGTTTTCTCTGATATAAGGTGACTGACCCATAATGGGATAGGGAGGGGGTGCATGCCTCTAAATAGGGCAGAGGGGTGGGAGGGGAAGGGAAGGGGCAGGGGGTTAGCAATGATGGTGGAATGTGATGGACATCATTATCCAAAGTACATGTATGAAGACATGAATTGGTGTGAACATAGTTTATATACAGAGATATGAAAAATTGTGCTCTATATGTGTAATAAGAATTGTAATGCATTCCACTGTCATGTATTTAAAAAATAAAATCAATTAAAAAGAAGGTGCTATGTAAACCTTTTCTCCATGGTGCTGGGAAAGCTGGAGAAGGTATTAGCTTCCCTACACCCAATTTGCCAGTTTGTTGTTAATCAAACCCTTTCTCGCCCCATTACTGTCTCTCCAGACATTGGCTCTTGTGGGTGGCAGCAGACCTGGACCTTTCAAGGTTACTCACATATACAATTATTGCTGCGATGGCCATGAAATGGATGATCTAGTTACCACTCTGCGGTTCTCAAAAAGAAAAAGGTATTAAAACAGAATTCTAATCAACATTGGAAATACTATTTATTGGACTATGAGGAGGAAGAAGGCCTTGGCCTAGGTGCCTAATAGTCCTGGGTCCCACAACACTATAGAACATAGATGAAACAATGTCAAGTAAAAACATCTAAGTATTTGTTTTTTTTATCTTGAACCCTTTCCCTACCTCAGTTAAGCAGAGCAATAGAATAAATGCAGTTACCAATGTGCCAGAAATGATAACAACGCAAAGGTGGAGGGGAGAAAAATGGGTAGGACAGGAGAGGCTTTTTAGTCATCTCCCCCATTCCCTGAGGCCAAGCTGTGCTCATCTCTTCAGGATGCCTGTGACAGCCCCCTAATTGGTCTTCTTGCTTCTACCTGTGCCCTTCCATTCTATACACAGCAGCAACATTGAGTTTTAAAAACATAATGCTTCTTCCCTACCTAAAGCCCCGTGGTTACCTACCTGGAGTCTGCAGCCAATACCACCCTGGAATACATAACATCCTAATGCTCTGCCCAGGCTCCTGCCACCCATGCCTTGGGAAGTGCTGTGCTGTCCCCTGTCAGTAAATAGCCTTGCACTGGTCACAAGGGGACCCCTTCTGGTCATTCAGATCTCAACTTCCGGAGGCCTTTCCTCACCACCTTCTGCCAGACATGTTCAGTTATTCTCTGCACCGTATTCATCTGATGTTTGATTGTCCATCTCTTGCTATAGAATTCCAGCCCCACAAGGGCAGCAGCCTCATGGGACCTGCTTCCAGGCTCTCAACTTACAACAGTGCCTGGCAGGTACAGGTGATTGGTAAACGGTGGTTTAAATGGTCAAGATTATCCCACTGTGTTTCCACATTTCCTCAAACACACCTCGATTCTTCATGGCCATTTTAAGCTAATTAGAAAAGGAAATCAGGTGTAGATTCTTGAACTTAAAGTGGAAATATCTTGTGGGCCATAAGGATTAGGTAATAAATATGGAAATGCATCTGAAATGGCAAGCACTCTGCCAAACCACTATAGTTGAACTGCTCCCTCATTTTTTAAAGATATTTTTTTTTAGTTGTAGATAGACACAATATCTTTATTCTCTTATTTTTGTGTGGTGCTGAGGATTGAACCTACTACCTCATACATTCAAGACAAACATTCTACCACTGAGCTACAGCCCCAGCCCCCTGCTCCTTCATTTTAAAGATGATAAAAAGTAAACACAAATTAATGATAGCAAGTGAATACAGGTTTGCCTACTGCACCAAGCTATAAAGCACAAATATTAAATAATATATAAATGTGCTAGGCATGGTGGTGCACACCTGTAATCCCAGCTACTCAGGAAACTGAGGCAGTACTGGAAGTTCAAATCCAGCTTGGGCAACTTAGTGAGACCCTGGCTCAAAAAATAAAAAGGACTGGAGATGTAGCTCAGTGGTAGAATGCCCCTGGGTTCAATCCTCAGTACAAAATAAATAAATAAATAAATTATTGACTTTAAGAAGAGAAAATCCCAATACACTTTTAGGACACTTGTTGAACAATGTTGCCAAGCTTTTTTTAATGGATTTTTCCTTTTTAAAGTTTTCTCACATTCTTTGACCTTGAGGATTTTAAATGCACCCATAGTAGTCTGTTTTTCTATCCTTCACTTCATGAATTATATTCAAACCAAACATATAACAGCATGGCTTACAATTTCTTTTTTTTTCCAAATATTTTTCTTACTGGGTATTGAACCCAGGGTTTTGCGGATTTCAAGCATGGGTTCTACCTCTAAACTACACTCAGGCCCCTTATAATTTTTGTCTTCTTTTTTTTACCTGAGACATAATTTTCTGGAATCAGTTACCCCAAGATTATTTTTATTATTTATTTGTGGTACTGGGGATTAGACACAAGAGCACTAACTAATAAGCTACATCTCCAGTCTTTTTTTTTTGAAGAGAGGGTCTCACTAGGTTACACAGACTGGCCTTGAGCTTGTGATCCTCCTGCCTTAGCCTTGAGAGTAGCTGGGATTACAGGAATGTACAACATGCTTGGTCCAAAGTTATTTTTTAAATTTCAACAATGTCTACAACAATTATAATGTAATGGCATTTGGGGCTTTTCATATAGTCAGCACCATGGTTCTAGCCCCATGAATTCTGGAATTAGGTGGCCTTGGAGGAACTGCGATGTTGACTTATGAGTAGTCATTCTGATCAATTACTCAATTTTTTTGAGCTTAGTCTCCCCACTTGAAACAGGAATAGAGGCTGGGGGGTGCAGCTCAGGGGTAGCATGAATGAGGCCTTGGTTCAGTCCCCAGTACCCTTCCATCCCAAATTCTGGGCTAATGACAATCTATCTTATAAGACTATTGGAAGGATTTAGTAAAAATCATATATATACAATGCTCATACAGAATAAATCTTCAATAACAACTACTCATTTCTTCAGAATTGTGCCTCATTTTATAATCTCAAATATTTAATGCTATTCCAGAAATATTCTATATTTATCATTTGATAGCTTAAAGATGATTTATTAAAACCATGACTAAAACAAAGGCATAACTAGTTTTTTACTGCATAATAATGTTAAATAGTTAAAAGTTCTGAAGAACACTGTCCCACATAGATGAAAAAAATCAATTTTTTCATGAGATTTAAATTGTTGGAAACCTGAGAAAAGGACTACCCCCAACTACCAATCATTTGTTTAACTTGCCATTATATTCCATTTGAGTCAGCATAATCTTTATTTCAAAATAGCATTTTTATTATATAAAAATGTAAAAATCCAGCAAAACCAGAAATACGGATATATTTTCCTGGGCTTTCACATTTGTTGATTTTTATTCGCAATTTCTTTTTCAACACAATTTACAACCTCATCCCCATTTCCAATCTGATTATACAAGTGCTAAGTGGCAAAAAGGTCTGGAATAAATACATCAAAGAAAAAAAAAGCAAAGCTGTGAAACTAAGTTGCATGCAACAGGTTTTATGAGGGTGGGGAAAGTATCTGAGAAATAAAATAGAGAAAGATAATGTAATTGGAAGATTTTAGCTATAGTTCTTTCAATCATCTTTGTCTTTTGCTCCGTGTTTAAGGATGCGCGTGAACTCGATGTAATTGAAATTCCCCTTTTTGTCAATAGGGGCTTCTCTGTACAGCTCATCCACTTCCTCATCTGTAAACCGATCACCCATGGTGGTCAGCAGCTCCCTCAGGTAATCCTCCTGAATGGTGCCTATAAGGCAATAGAAAGAAGGAACTCATGAACATTTCATCACACTTGAATGGTTCATTTCTTTTTGTTTTGTTTTTGGTATCATGGATTGAACCCAGGGGTACTTAACCACTGGGTCACATCCTCAGCTCTTTTTATTTTGAGACAAGGTCTCACTAAGTTGCAAGTTGCTGAGGCTGGCTTTGAAGTCACTCCTGAGACACTGGGATTACAGCTGTGCACTATCCTTCCTGGCTTAAACGGTTCATTTCTAAATCAAGTCAATCTTACAAAATATTTCAGAATATCCATCATTTACATGAACAAAATAAATTAGCAAACTAAAGTTTATATACATAACCATGTCACTGCTTTCCAATTACTTTTGGAGTTCTTTATTAATATTAGATTAACTTGGGCTGGGGATATAGCTCAGTTGGTAGAATGCTTGCCTTATATGCACAAGGCCCTGGGTTCAATCCCCAGCACCACTAAAAAAAAAAAAAAAATTAGATTAACTCATTTAAAAAACTTAGAAATAGATTATTGTGTTTATAAAGTTAATGTTAAGCAAGTATTTCCTGGAGGTTAAAAATAAATCAACTTTCTATTTTAGAGATAAAGTAAAAAAACAAAACAAAAAACCAACCAAGCAACAAACAAACAACAACAACAACAAAACAGGTGGCTGCGCAAAACAATAGGTGCGCTGCTAAGAGCAAATGTGAGGAAGGACTTGACACGTGGAGGTGGGGAAAAGAGCAGCGAGGGAGGGCTGCAGTGATGGTTAATGAGAGGAAGAAAAGTGAATAGTTAGGTTTTTATGCATTAAAAACTACATTTTTTCCCAGGTGCATTAAAATGAAGACACAGACAAAACAAAGCAAAATCCTAAGAAAAAGCCAGAAAAACAAAACTAAGACTTTAATTGTTCTGTTAACTATGCTTTTTAGTGAGATTGAATATATACTGGAGAGTAGTTTTCACTATTTAAAAAAATACTAGCTAATAGACCACAACTCTCCCTTTGGTTTTTAGGAAGCTCAAAGTCGAATTCAAAGATTAATAATACACAAATTTTTTCTTCTTTCTTAGTCATCTCTATTGTTTTGTCCTACTATAAACAATAGTTTCTGTTCATTCATTTTTAAAAAATGTTATTTTACTGATTTTTTCCCCATTTTCAGGTACCATAAATGAGACTAGGTGTAAAGAAACAAAAAGCACTCACCTGTTGCTTCTTCATCAAAGCAAGCAAAAGCATTTCTAATGACATCTTCGGGATCTGTGCCATTTAACTTCTCACCAAACATGGTGAGGAACATGGTGAAATTGATGGGTCCTGGAGCCTCATTCATCATGGCATCCAGGTAGGCATCAGTGGGATTCTTCCCTGCAAGAATTCACAGTTGAACATGTGAGGACAAAGAGCTAATTTCAATAAACATTTTTCTATTGTTATGCTTCCCAACATTACATCATCATTACTTGAAAGTAGTTTTTCAATTAATGTTCATTAAGAACATTATGAGGTGCTGAATATATAGCTTAGTGGAAGAATGGCCTGCTTATTAGCATGCAGAAGGCTTTCTGTTGGGTCTGCACATAAAAGAGCCCAAAATGGAAACAAACAGAACATTTTAAAAAGATAATCTTTGACAACTTAAAAAAATCTTTGATACATCATTATGAAAATGCATTCTGGAGACTCAGGGTGTAAGAGTGCTTGCCTAGCAAGCATTGGGTTTAATCTCCAGCACTGTAAAAATCAAAACAACAACCCCACCACCAAAAAATCCTATTCTGGGCTTAGGCTGAAAGTTGTTCATTCATTAATACTTTATGCCTCCTCTTTTCCCTACTTTTAATTAAAAGCTGAACAATAACAAAAACCTGAAACAATAAACCAGGAAATGCCACATTATTACATCTTAAATATTGATAATATTAAAGGTCCATCAGGAATCATTTCCATACCAGTTATCCAAAATATGTAAATATTAATGCTTTTAGTTGTAAATGTAAATACTAAAGTTTTAGTTATTAGTTGGCCTTTTAAGTTAAAACTATTAGGTTGGCTTGGAATTGGGAGCTTATTTTGAACAATGTTCAATAAACAGATATCCTTGAGTGTTCTTCACACATGTTGCTGAACTACAATTGTGTTAGCATTGTTCATAAATCTTCATCTCAGTTCCAACTGAGAATACTCCCTGTTTTAGAATAATGGTGAGAGATCTCTGGATCCTCCCCTAGGAGTTGGGAAAAATCCCCTGGAATGTGCAGTCAAGATGAGAATATCTGTGAGACCCTGCAGTGCAGGCAAAACAGCTCTAAATGAAGGGTCTAGATGGGCTGGGGCTCAGTGGTAGAGCACTTGCCTAGCATTTGTGAGGCCCTGGATTCGATTCTTACACCACATATAAATAAATAAAATAAAGGTATCCATTGAAAACTAAAAAAAAATATTTAAAAAAGAAAAGAAAAAAGAAAAAAAATAGAATACTAGGTTTGAATCCCAGTTCTACTGACACTGAGGGAGGTGGTAGAGCTGGGATTCAAATCCAGTATTCCGGATCCTGCATTCAGTGCCATGGGCATCTTTGTTTCCCATCTGTAAAATAAGAACTCATTGAAATTGGTATCTCAAAGGTCCCTTTCAACATTAAGTTTTTATGATTCTACATAAAAGGAACATCTGTTAGAGATTCGTATCTAAGGAAGCATCTCAAAATTACAATGAACTAAATACTAATGATACCCAAATCTAGAATTATAGTCCACATGTAAATTTCAAATCCTGGGAATTTGGGGTGACATTTAAATACCATGCTGACATCTATGTCACTGTACTAAAATCTTACCTCATCACACCTACTCAGCATACCTCTGAAAAAGATTCACTGAATAAGTGAAAGTAGTTGAAAACATCTACTTTTCTATTTGTAGATTAAACTCTATCTCTTATAGCACAGTGTGTGTGTGTGTGTGTGTGTGTGTATGTGTGTGTGTGTGTTGGGGTGGGGACAACACATAGGTGTTAAGTAAACTCTAGGGTAAAAAAGACAAAGGAATTTAAAATGGATTATTTAAGCTAAGCACCTATGAACTCATTCAAGACATCCCATATAACTTGTTGATCTGAAAGGCAAATACATATATTTAAAGGTTTTCCCCAATCAGAAGGATGCAAAGTCTCCTCTTACTCTTATCTACTACCACCTGTCCATTCAACCAACATTTATGGAGCATTTACTGTGAGTGGGGAATGGACATGTGTATTCAATCCTTGGAATCAATAAAGCTAAGTCCTTCAATTTTTCCTCAGTGGCCTTCTTCAGTAATGACTTGCCAAAAAAGTAAACTCACTTAGCTACTCTGAATGTGAAAGACCCTGGGATATAAGCTACCTGGCAAGTCAACAAATCAATATCTTGAATCTACTCTCAGTTTGGATAAAGGAAAATACTGAAAAATGTTCACAACTGGGGAACATAGAAGAAAGATATATGGTGTTCACTGTGCTATTAACTTTTTGTGAGCTTGACAATTTTCAAAGTAGTATGTTAGGAAAAAAAAAAAAAGGTAGAGGAACAAACACTAGCCAAGCATTTTTGTGGACACCAAAAGAAAAAAACCGACCTTTTTCTTTGCCCTTTGGCCCTTCAGTTGCCCTTTCTGGTTAACCAGGCAAGCAGAAGTACACAGCCTCTTTGCAGGACCCCTGACCTACACTTCTAGCCATGCCCTGGCCCCATGCTTCGGCCTATCAAGAGCTCATCTGTTTGCTGCTTGCTGTTTTACTTCAAACTGTAAAATCACTGCTGATTCTAGGCAGAATATGTCGGATTTCCACTTCTTTCCATCTATTAAAAATCAGTCCAAACAGCAACAAAAATAATACAAAAAATAAAAAATACCTACAAATTCAAAATAACAAATGGCAGTTTATATACACATTAAATCTTCTATCTTCATATTTTAATTATTAAAAAACAATAAATTATAAAAACCATTCATTATAAAAAAACATAAATAAGCAGGGTGTGGTGTCTCATCCCAGCAACTCAGGAGACCTAAGTAGGAGGATCGCAAGTTCGAGGCCAGCCCCAGCAATTTAGTGTGGTCCTAAGCAACTTAGTGACCTTGTCTCAAAATAAAAAATAAAAAAAGGGCTGGGGATATGGCTTAAGCACCCCTGAGTTCAATACCTGGCACAAAAAAAAAAAAAAAGAAAGAAAAAAAAATATCTCATACATATATGTTGTAAAAGTTGGGGTGAGCACAGGGGCACACACCTGTAATCCCAGTGGCTAGGGAGGCTGAGGCAGGAGGATTGCAAGTTCAAAGCCAGCCTCAGCAAAAGCAAAGTGCTAAGCAACTCAGTGAAACTCTTGTCTCTAAATAAAACACAAAATAGGGCTGGAGATGTGGCTTAGTGGTGTGTGTGTGTGTGTGTGTGTGTGTGTGTATGTGTACACACACACACACACACACACACACACACATAGAGTGTGCAAAAGTCCCCTTCCCTGTATTTCCTTTTTTTTTTCCCCTGTATTTCCTTTCCCTGTTATACTACCCATCTTCCCCAAGACAAACCATTATCACTCACAATCATCAATTTTTATTTACCTGTCCTCAACTTTAATTAACCTTATTATACTCTATGATTAGCCATACTTATTATTTGTAATTCTGGCTCTCAGCCTAATAGACATGAAGTATTTAACTAATGGGAACATAAGCCTACCTGCCAGATCCCCACACCTGTCAAGCTATCCCCTCATGCCTGACCCACCCCAATATGGCACCTCCCATACCCAGAAACCTCTCCAGAGGTCTTTAGAAACAGAGTAATATGTATATCATGTTTAAAAAAATTCATAAAGAATGGAATTATTTTTTAACAATATCATATAAAGAATATAAATTACCCAGCGAGGCAAGCATATCATGCAGATCTTCCTTGTCAATGAAACCATCTCTGTTCTGGTCAATCATGTTGAAGGCCTCTTTGAATTCCTGAATCTGTGATTGGTCAAACATGGCGAACACATTGGATGTTGCGCGCTGAGGGCGCTTCTTGGTGGTCTTGGTCTTTGCCTTTTTGCTCGACATGGTGGCTGTTTAATTCTAGGTTTAAAAACAAAAAAGAATGCATAAGATGTACGGCCAGAAGATAACACATTACATCTAAAGTCAGCAAGTAAAAACACCTTAATATAGAATTATTACCTCAACTAGGCAGGAATTAAGTAATATCTAAACATTATTTTCAATGTAACAGAGTTTTGAAAAATTAAGAAACAGAATAGAAATGATTGATGTACTTTCCACCAAATTTCACAGGACCAATTTTTATTAAGTTGGAATTAATTTAAAATTTAATTTAGCTATATGTAATAATAGCTAGCATTTACTGAGTACTTATTATATGCCAACCACTGTTTTGAAGGTCTAGGGATGCCCCACAGAGAAAGGCTCTAAAAATGACCTCTTCCTCTCACAAGTTTGTCCCATTTAATCCTCACAACAAAGAAATGCAGTATTATTATTTCCATTTTACTACCAAGATAACATAACTTCTCTGAGCTTCAGTTTTTTTCGTGGTTGTTATTTTTCCCCGAGTACTAGAGATTGAACACAAGGGTGCTTTACTAATAAGCTATACCCCCAGCCCTTTTTAATTTTTTACTTTGAGAGAGGGTCTTGCCATTTGCTGAGGCTGGCCTCAAACTTATGATTTTTCCTGCATTAGCCTCCCAGATTGCTGGGTTTACAGGCATGCACCACTGAGTCCAACAGATATCTACTGTAATGCAAGGGAAGAACTAAATGAGATAAAGTATGTAAAGAGACTCACATAGTTAGCATGTAGTATATGTTCAAAAAGCGCTCATCTTTAAAAAATATGATATAAAAAAACCCTATTCTATATTGCACCCCTTCTAGCTAGATATGCATTTCCTCTTTCCCTTGACAAAACTCTCAGAACAGCAAATTAATACTCAACTGTCTCCATCTCCTCATCTTCCCAAACACTCCTAGATCCTCTGTAAATGGCTTTGGTGCTAGCCTCCAATACTCTACTGAAAGCCATCACTAATTTAACTGTCAAAGAGATGACATTTTTTATTTATAGTTTAAAAGAATGTAAATAAATAGAGTCATGCACATATGACAACTTTTCAGTCAATGATGACTGTATATGATGGAACATACTACTTAGCCTGAGTGCACAGGCTGTATCATCTAGTTTTGTACATTCTATGATGTTTGCAGTGACAAAACTGCCCAACTACATATCTCTCAAAACATATCACCAACAAGGTGACTTACAATGTAAGGTGATTCTAAAACAAACCAAAACAAAAATATTATCAGTTTTGGAGGAGGAAATCTGAATTCAAATAACAGCTCCACCCTTACTAGTGTCATTAACTTCTAAAAACCCACAAACATCTGAGTAATTTTTGATCCAATGTCTTATCCAATCTTCATAACTATCCTATGAGTTGGGTACTGGTAAATTAAAAAAAAAAAATCATTAGGACAGGGTGGTGCACACCTGTAATCCCAGTGGCTCGGGAGGCTGAGACAGGAGGATCATGAGTTCAAAGCCAGCTTCAGCAACTTAGAGGCCCTAAACAATTTAGTAAGATCATCTCTAAATAAAATACAGAAAAGGGCTGAGGATGTAGCTCAGTGTTTAAGCACCCTCGGGTTTGGTTCCCCACCCCCCCCCCAAAAAAAAAAATCAAATGGCTCCTGGTACTAAAGAATTTAATGTTGCCCAAAGAGAGGTCTGACCTTTGCCCTTAGCTCCTGGGAGCTAATTTCTATCTAGGTTCCTAGAATGTCCTCTCTGACATCTGCAGTCTGAGGTCACACCAGGCAGGCTAACAGTGTGGGTTATGATGGGAGATTTAGATCATACAGTATCAGCCTGACCTCTAGAGAGGAGCTGGAGACTGCGGTTAGCCGTGTAGGCAGTTAACTGTGTCCACGATGGAACCCAAATAAAATACTGGATATTGAGGATCAGGAAAGTTTCCCTGGTTGTCAATACTACCACATATCGTTGCTAGGGGGTAGTTAGCACTCTCCATGACTTGACTGGCTAGAAGACACTGAATCTCTATATTTGAAACCTTCTAGAATCTGTTCCACACAACTCTTCCCTTGACTGATTTTAATCTATACCTTTTCACTTAGTAAACCATATTTGTGAGTGTAACACCTTTCAGGAAGTCCTGTGATTCCTAGCAAATTATTAAAACTGAGGGAAGTCTTGGGGATATGGAAACTTGCAGTTGGTGTCAGATGTGCAGGCAGTCTTGGGGACCATTCTCTATTTCTTCAACCCCATAACATGAAAGCAGATAACAAGCCAGGTCAGTGGCTGAGCAAGGAGATTTTGGACCTAAGTCTTTAGCACTTCTGGTTTTAGACTTTCTATACATATATATTTTCTTTCTCCATTGTAATAGATATGAACACAGGCAGGGTGTTTTTGAAACTTGACCTAGTGGTAGTTTTGAAGTACGTAAGCCTTAGAAGTCTTACTCTCAACTTTGCAACTATTTGCCCTCCCCACATACTGTCCTGAATAAATGTTAATTTTCTTTTCTTTCCTATAACTTAGCTTGTTACTTAAATTTAGTTAAATTTTAAGGTTAAATCAAAGATAGAATGTGGTTCACTAGTAAGACACTTAACTACGGACTGTTGTTTATTGTTGTTGTTGTTGTTTTGAGGGGGGAGGGTCTTGGGGATTCAATCAAGACCTCACACAGACTAATCATGTGCCCCACCTCTGAGCTACACCCATAACCTCACTTGACTACAATTCAATCTTCTGCATATTCCCAAACTGTTAGATTAAGGGTTTTTGTTTTTTTCATGCTAAAAATTCAATGATTCTATTTCTCCAAGATATATTGTCATAAGTCTAAAGGCAAGTAGTTCTATCAGCAAATCATTTTCGTACTAGTCATTTTAAAAAACTTCCCAAAGAGTAAATTATTTTTAAAAAATGATCTGTCAATTGTATCATACTAACTCAATAGCTACCTAAAAATACACTTGTTTGAGCTTTCCAAGAAACCAATGCCAAGATTAGACTAAACACATAAGGATTTTATTAGGGGATATGTCTATGAGAAAGAATGGGGAAGCAGCTCTGTAGATCAGAAAGGCACTCAGATGGTGAGATCCTCAAATGAAGCACAACAGAAAGAAGGTTGATGGAAGAGAACTAAGAACAATTTGCCAACTGGCCCTAATCAAAATAAAGTATAGAGCAAACAGAGCTCAATATAATGGTAGTATAATTTCTTTTTTAAATTCTTTCTTGGTACCAGGGATGAAACCCAGGAGCACTTAACCACTGACCCACATCCCCAGCCCTTTTTATATTTTTATTTAGGGACAGAGTCTTGCTAAGCCGCTGGGGCTGGCTTTGAACTTGTGATCCTCCTGCCTCAGCCTCCCAGGCTGCTGGGATTACAGGCATGTATAATTTCTTTTTAAAAGAGTTTTCAGGGTAGCTCAGTGGAGCACCTGCCTATCATGTGTAAGGCCCTGAGTTCAATACCCAGAATCACATCAAAACAAATTTTCCCTCATTAAATTGTATATATGCATAGTACCCACAAACACTAAACACACACACACACACACACACTAAAATACCAGCTAAAAAGTGAGGCAAATTATATTAAAACCATAAAACTGAAGGGAACTCTCATCCACAAGAAACTGCCACCCTTTCTTTCCTCCTTGCCTTCTGAGAAAAGTCTCTTGGCTTTTACCACTTTTTCACTTCCCACTCACTTTCCAATCCACCACAATCTGGCTGTCTCTTTTCCTCTGCAACTGCTTTCAAATTGCCAAATCTAGTCCAAATCTTCTTGGACCCCTCTGCTGTATTTGACACTATTTTATCCCTCTTTTCTTTGAGACTCAGAAGCTTTTGGCCTGATGCTCAGTAATACTAAAATAGAACTGTCCCAGAAGGAAAAAGAGCACAAGAGGCCCAACCTTAAAGACCTTGCACTCTAATGTGGGAGACAGATGAACACTATGCTGGGGAGACTGTTTTATGTAAAGTGCTGTACTCTACACCCTCTGTCTCAGTTCTTCTATTTTCTTCTTAGACTTATATCTCCACTCAGTTAAATATTCATGTTGCTCAGCATTCTGGCAGTACATGGCTTAAAGTTGTTCTCATTCCGCTTTCCTTGGATGATCTCATCAACACTCACTGTTCTGACAACACCTGACTCCCAAGCCTATGCCTCCAGGCCTGACCTTAACCTTGAGCTTTAGACTCAAACACCCAACTGCCTATGAAAGGCCCTCATTTGGATATCCCACAGACACCTCTTAATCAACATGCTGAAAACTGAATTCATTCTCTTCCCCCTCCTAAACTCTTGCAGCTTTGTTTTCTCAGTCTACCCACTCACCTTCATCCACCCACTCACCTTCATCCACCCGCTCACCAAGCCAGAAACCCAAGAGTCATCCTCCACAGATCCCTCTCCCTGATGAATCAAGTCCTGCCTCTTAAATATTTCTCAGATTTGCTCATCTTCCTCATTTCTCTGCCATCACCCTAAACCTGATCCTCACCACCTCTTGTGTAGAATATTTCTATGGCCTCTGAACCAGCCTCCTTACTTCCTGTTTCCCTCAACTCCTTCATATTCTAGCCAGAGGCCTCACCATTCTACTTTTTGAAATCTTCTTTGCCTCTCCACCTCATAGAAGATATAGAATAAGTTCTAAAGCATGGCACATGGGTCCCCCATTGCCACACCAGGAGTAGGGACTGAACCTAGGGGTGCTCTACTATTGAGCACAGCCCTGAGTCTCCTGCCCTTTTTGAGGAAGGGTCTCCTTAAGTTGCCTAAGGTCTCACTAAATTGCTGAAGCTGGGCTTGAACTTGTAATCCTCCTGCCTCAGCCTGGAGTTGTTGGGATCACCTGGCCACACCTGGGTCTTCCTTTACCTACTCCATCTAGCACTGTCCTTTCCACAGTCATCTCTATTTATTCTTAACTATGTGCTTTTCCTTTAGCTACATGAAACTGTTGGCATGTCTCCAAGGCACCATGCAGTTTCTGAC